CCATCACTCTAAATTTAAAAAGAAAACATGAGAATAATGTAATGGTGAACAAAAAGTATATTTCTTTTCAGGGTATTTTTCCTTCTGAATTTATTAATAGCTCTCCTAATATTATTAACAATATTTATGTTAGGTTTTGAATGTTAAATCATTAGACCTGAGATTGGTGGCACGGTGGTTAACAACACCAGGTTGTAGCACCAGGCTAACAACCACGAGACTGTGAGTTCTCGTCTGCCTTTACCCCCAGATCCAACTGGGTGACTTCAGATCAGTCACTTGTCCAGAATCGTATAAGGTCTCCTGCTTGGTCTTCCAGCCCTATTGTTCTATGTAGTTTCACTCAGCCCTAGGAAAAAGGGAAGAGCAAACCACTTCTGAAAAAGATTGCCAAGAAAATTGCAGGCAGTCACCAGGAGCCAACACTGACACGAAAGCACTAAACAAACAAACAAACAAAAACCCTTACTCTCAGAAAATAAAAATCAGACAAAAATGCCATGAAACTACTTTTTCCCATAAATAAATAGGGACTTACCTGTTCCTTCTAAACCTTTCTGGTTTACTTTATTGAATAAGAGCTTGTTACTATCTTCTCATATGATTCCGTCTTGCTGAACCAGAATTAACATGGAGTTTTCTCTGTGTGCTTTACCTGATTGTTGTTCAGCCATCTGCACTGGAAATCACCATTAGTAACACAATTTGCTCTCCAACAGAGGCTCAACAGGTTTTGAAAGAGGCCATTCACTCTGAGGGAAAAAAAAACAGCTGTTCTCATTAAAATGGATCTGAAATGTCTAAGTCATTGAACAGGAAGAGTAATAGCAGTTAAATGTGATACTGAAAGCGTTTCCTCCTCCTTCCTCTCTAATATTAGATGTGTGCAATACTGCAAACCTCAGTTTCCGCAAAAGCTTCAGAATAAGAAACATAGAATTATAGTCAATATGCCATTTGCAAGAAATGATTGGGGAGATGGCTGACAATTTAGGCAATTAGGCAATATTGCAGTATTATTAATGTGGAGATGAAATTGCTTTATTTTACTGTGAATGTGCATGTTAGCATACTTTTAATGGACAGAAGGATCTTATCTTTGTCATAGGGCCAAAAAAAATATCATCACTCATCAAGAACGAGCAGCATCTTAGCTGGAGTCTCTAGATCAGTGATGGTGAATCTTTTTGTTGTAATGTACCGAAAGCATCTGTGTGTCAGCATCCACAATGCAATGTGCACCCCCTGCACATTCACATACAACCCCCCGTTACCTGCACTGTGCATACGCACACCTCCCACCTGATTTTCGGCCCATTTGAGGCTGTTTTTGCCCCCCCCCAGGGGGGGCTCAAGGAAGCCTCTGCAGCCTTTGGAGGCCAAAAACGGGCCTGTTTCATCACTTCCTGTATTTCCAGCCTTTGCAGGTATTGTTGTGCAGCCTGTGAAGACGGCAACAGAATCGGACAGTGGGGAAGAACATGGGCCAGTCCAGGAGTCTGGGGAGGACTTGGATTAAGGGCCTATGTCCGATGGGGCCAGGGCCATCTGGGAGTTATGTGCTGACCCCGGAGCCTCCAGAATATGACAGCAGAGAGGCAGAGAAACAAGGGGAGCCTGTTCCCAGTGCGTGTGTGCGCAGAGCTGCTAGAAGTCACGACAAAAGGGGTGACTCAGGAGTAAGGCTTGGAGATGATTGCCTCTCCCATAAGATATAAAGGAAGTGCAAAGGGACAGGAACCTTTGCAGGAAGCAACATTGTTTGCTCTGGTCCATTTGGAACCTGAAAGCTCTGTGGTGAATTTGTGCTCCATTTGGTTTGGAAAGACTAATTGGTACTTTAGTCATTGGCAGCACTTCAAGAAAGAAAAAGGTACATTCTTATCAGACTTCTTTCAAAGGACCTTGGCAGACTTCCATGGGACTATTTATAACTGGTTGAGACTCATTACAGGCTGTGCATAACAATAATTCACAGCTGTTGAACTATAAAAGGGTTTGGGATTTTTTGTTGGTTTCTCAGGAAGCCTTGGTCAGAATAGGTATTACCATTGTGAAGACTCTTGTTATGGATTAATTGGGGGAACTATTGTCCAATCCTCAGTTTCCTTAACCTCTCATCTATATATATGTACCGGTTGCTTTTCTCTCAATTTGATTTTCAGTTCTCAGCAAGACTCTTTTATCCTCCTCCCTCGTTTAGCACTGCTCAGAGATTTTGTCAGGCTGAGGAAAACCCTTCACACATGTAACACACACACACAACGTTCAGTTCTGTTGCTGACTCCTCTTTCTGAGCTTGTCTTTTCTTTAAGATTTATTTTGGTCTGTCTGTTTGCCTTCCTTCAGCTGAGCCCTGACATTTCACTGCTCTGCCTTAATGTTGCTGAAAGAATTGTTTTTAAAAACCTTTGCCTCTGTTACTTGATCAACTGAGGGCACAGTTTAACCTGTTTAATGGTCTTGATACTTCTAGCAAATAAATCACCTTCACAGTAGGGACTTTTTAAGGTCTGTTGTGCTCTTCAGTCTACTGAGCTCTGAGTAATTTACAACCTTAAGTGGCAGATACAAAGCTGTGTAGAAATGGAGCAAGGAGCAAAGAACATCAACCATGAGTGCCTCTAAATAGTAAGCAAACTGGTAAGAAAAGATGGCAGGAATGAAGAGGGGGGGAGCGCCTAATCTGCTTCTTCTTCTAAAAACTACATTAAATTCAACAATCACAAAACTAAAAGTACAGAACAGAATAACAGATTTGAAAAGGACCTTGGAAGTCTTCTTGTCCAACTTCTGACTCAAGTAGGAGACCCTATGTCTTTCAGATTAAGTTATTGTCTAATCTCTCCTTAGAAACCTCCAGTGATGGAGCACCAACTTCTGAAGGCAAGTCATTCCACTGATCAATTATTCTTTCAGGAAATTTCTCCTTAGTACAGCACGTCTTCCCAACCTAGTGTTCCAGTTTGTGTGTGTGTGTGTGTGCATGTGCGCACACGCCTGTGAGTCATTGTTGACTCCTGACAACTACCTGGACAAGTCCCTAAAGTTTTCTTGTCAAGAAGTGGCTTGCCCTTGTGTCCTCCTTAGGGCTGAAAGAGAGTGACTGGTCAAGGTCACCCAATCGCTTCATGCCAAAGGTCTTACTAGAACTCATGGTCTTCCAATTTCTAGCCTGATGCTTTGGCAACTACATCAATCTTGCCCTTCTGAGTTGTGGACTACAATGTTTTTAACATCTGTAACAATACACCTCATTATCATTGACTATGGGAGTTATAAGTCAATATATAGCTGGCGGGCACAAAGCTGGCATAACTGGCTAGATCTGGAAAAGATACAACTTTCAAGCAGCTATACAGATAATTCCGTAAATGGCACTGATTGTTTTTGACATCACTAAAGGAACAGTATTATTACGGATACCCAATACATGGCAACTTCCTATTTGGACATCATCTAAAAATTAATATAAAATATTCTTGACCTAAAATCAACTCCTAGTGACCATGTTGACAGAAGCATACAGTATTATTTTCTTGCTTTCTTCCTAGATGTCTATGGAGATTCTCAGTCACCCAGGTCATGGTTGTCCCAAAGGTGCTTTTTTCAAGAGGCAACTGGATTTTCTGGTTTTGTTTTGTTTTTTTCTTTGTAGACCTTTTGCTTCTCATCCAAGCAGCTTCTTCAGCTCTGATTGGATGGAGGGAAATTTATACTCCTTGAAGACAGCTGGACATTTGCATTCTTTTAAGCAGGTTGTTAAGGTCACTTAGAGGTTTATCTGTGTCATCAGGGTCACCTGAGTGATGCAAATTGGTGTGGAGCCTTCTTGGAACTGCTGAAAGGACTGTGTTGTAGATTGGAGATAGATGTCATATCCCTTCCCCTCAGTTTTGAGATAATGGACCTCTTTAACCCCTTTCAAATCAGTGATCCTATCTGTCCAAAATATGGACTTTGACATAGATGTGTATGCCTAGACGTGTATGCACATGAGAGAGACTTTACCTCCTCCTCTCTTCCACAGCCCTGGGATCTTCTGTTGGTTATTTTTCACTTAAGTACCAACCTGGTCTGTTTCTATTTACCTTTCTCAAGATCATTTCAGACAGCAGATGCTGCCATCTGCTGTGAGCATTAGCCTTAAAAGAATAGAATAGAATTCTTTATTGGCCAAGTGTGACAAACAAGGAGTTTGTTTTGGTGCATATGCTCTCAGTGTACATAAAAAATGAAGAAAAAAAATACATTTGTCAAGAATCAGAGGTATAACACTTAATAGTAAAGGGTACAAATAAACAATCGAATCATATTAGGAAACATAATAAGCGATCAAATCAAATTATACTAATAAACAGTCAATAAAATAATCATAAGGATACAAGTAACAAAGTTACAATCCTGTAGTCGTAAGTGTAATAAGTCATAAGGAGTGCGCCCAAATGCGTGCATAAGTGCACCAACGTGCCTACTGTCCTATTGTTTCTTTTTTATTCATATCCATTTCATGTATTCATAACCATCTAATACTTGCTTGACAAATAAATAAATAAAAAATAAATAAAAATGCAGTAGTGAAAATTATGCTCCACGTCTCTTAAACCCGGTCACTCTTTTTGTCCACGATTGCGTTGGATTTGCTTCGCCCCTTTTCTCGCGATTGTGGGCACATGGGTGTTTTCCAAACTTGTCAAATTGAAGTCGGGTGGATTTCAGCTCCCAAAGAGTTGAAACCCGCCCATCTTTTAAGATGGCAAGTTTGAAAAAAAAAAAGACTGCTGCGCTCCCAACTCCCTCCCAGCTTGGAAACGCGAGGACTGAAGAGCAACTAAGGAAGATGGCGAACAAAGCCCGCAACGGCCCACGTGACAGGACATGTCACAATCAGAAAGGGGAAGCGGTTGAAAGCCCCGCGAGCGGCAAGCGGCGTAGTCCAACAACACTCCCCCGCCCCGCCCCCCCTCGACGGGCATGCCTCTCCGCGTCGGGTGATTGGCTGAACGCGTTGTCCGCAGTGCGCAACCGCAGAAGGACCAAGAGGAGGGAGCTTGTTGCGTAGCGGCAACGAACGCGCGGGGTTGGAGCCGAGCTGAGTCAGGAGGACAATGGATGAGCTCCAGTCTGCCGAAGAGGTAACACGACTCCGGAGCGAAAGGACCGCCGTAGCTTCTTTGGCAGGCCTGGCTGGAACGGACCTTTGGAGAAAGAGAGGTTCCGGGTAGCCTCTCCGGTCGAGACACGCCCCTTCCCCATTGTTGCTCCTCTTCCCCACGCACCCACTACCGGGCTTTTCTCGCCTTCCAAAAGGCGGCGGAGAATGTCGTTCATTCGCGCCCCAGCGGCTTTCCATGGCCGCGCTGCTCTTTCCCGGATTAGCGCGGGGGCGATGGGGTTAGATGTATTGAAATGGTGTATAGGGTTTCCTGCCTAAGCAAGGGGTTGGACTTGAAGACCTTCAGGGTCCCTTCCAACTGTAGCGTTATTCTGCTGTAGCGTGAGCCAAAAGCAGCGCTCTAATTTGGTGGTAGCCGTGCAGATTTTTTTTTAAATTTTTAGATAGACAGACATACATTTATTTTTAGGATAGTTTATAATGAGAGATATAGAATGAGATTACATCTCTCTGTGTGTGTACATACATACATACATACATACATACATACATACATATATATATATATATAATATATATACATATATTAAGAAAACATATATGTGTGTGTGTGTGTGTTTTAAGTTTTTGCAGGTACTTACATGTATGGTATTCAGCTTTGTTCCGGTATTTTCCCACATCATTATAGTGCTTTTAAAGTTGTAGCAACGTTCCGGCAGAATCTCATCTGCCATCATCGGGCTTCTGTATTGTGTTCGTCTGTGAGTCAGACTTTTACAGTTGTTTCAGTTTTAAATTTGGGGCTAGTCTAAATGATGATGGCAGATGAGATTCTGTCAAACATTGCTACAACTTTAAAAGCACAACTATAATGATGTGGGAAAATACCCGAACAATGACTTAGGCCATATCTCTGTTGGGCATGCTGGAAACCCATTGGGTTGCAGCCATGGTGTCCGCAGAAAATGATTATTACCTGGATGAGAAAAGTGCCCTTTTCCTGTGAATAATGCCTGCACTTATTATTTATTATGCATTATTTGTTTTTTTAATTATTTTCAGGACTTATATGGCCGCCTATCTCATAAAATGAGCCTAGGCAGCACAGAACAATCCATAAAAATATGACTAAAAACAAGAGTATTTTCCCACCCACCTCCATGGCAGATCAAACATCCTCTCAACTCAATCCTCATCCTAGCTCAACAATCTAAGGGAAGAACTGGGTCCTTTGGAGGACCGTTGTCCTGTAGGCTATTATATTGCCGTATCTGTCATTTATATGCTTAAGGAAACATGGAGCATCTTGCTCTTTTGTGAGAGGCTAGGAAAGTGATACAGCCTGTTAAGCCAAAATAAGCTGTAAGTGGTCAGATCTATGATGTTATGTCAATTGAATTTATTGCAGTGACACTATTTTCAGTTTTGCATAATGTAATTTAAATATTTCTGCTTTTTTTATAAAAAAAAGACTGCATTTGTTGTGGATGAAGTAAGCAACATTATAAAAGAGGTAAGTCCTTATACATTAATATGATCTTATTAATGGGAGTAAAATCTTGCATAATCATAGGAGTATTTCTTAGTAAACATGACAAAAATAGTGGGTTTGCTTTACTGGGAGTTTAGCTCATAGATTTTGAAGAAGCTGCAACTTCCAGATAATCTTTAAAGGCTGGTCAGCATATTGCAGCATTCTAGCCAAATCATAATCAGGATATGGGTTGTTATTGCCAGGTCATCTTACTCTGGGTAGGGCTGAAATTCAACACAACTTGGAATTGGACAGACCCTGATTACGGTTTCCATTGCTTTTAAAGCAGGAATTATATCAGCCTGGAGGAACCCACCTCCACTAGTCACAGACAACCTCCTTTAGAAGAAACATCAGTGAATACAGTTGTTCAGCCAGCTCTGAATCCATCTAATGGTAGCAAAGTCCAGCTTATATTTTGCCATATTCTATAGAATCCCATAAATTTCAGTACAATTTTTGCTATTTCATTTGAGACATTTCAAAGAAATCTGTAGCTTAGCTCCATAGTAGTCCTAACTATGAAGCCACTTTCAAGTAATGCCGTAGAATTCCTAAATAAAAACATTAAGAGCTAAACCAAAATAAGTAAGCTGCTTTCATAACAATATTTAGTGTATGTGGAAAATATTTGTGCAAATGGAGATGGACTGCTGTTTTAATTGCATCAAGCTCCCCTTTTACAAAATACCTTTATCTTCAGGAGTGGGTTTTCAGGGTTTAAAAGGAGCTGCATACAATGAGATAGAAACTCTGGAAATCCTTTGAGTATTCCTTCTGATGACATATGAGGTGAACTTTAAAGCTCTCCTATTTCCTTCTCCTTTCTTTGGAGAAGAGGGCCGAACAGCAGTAGCCCAGAATAAGTGGAAAAGGGTAACTCTGAACTTCAGAGATATGTTCCATTTCTGAACACCAGCTTTTCTTACTTGTTTTTGATGTTTGCATCAATGCTGGTTAACACAAAAAAATAACTTCATGGACACATGCATGGGTGTTTCTGAATCCCAGCCAATTTATATCTTTTGATGTCCTAAGAGAATTGCGTTCATAAAAATACTACTATTGGCTTGAAATGGTTAAGCATATACAGCTCAGGACTTTTCTTATGTAATTAGAGCTGGCCTCTAACTTAATTTGCAACCTATTAAATCTAGATAAATAGCGGTGGGACTAAACTGATTTCCATGCTTGTGGCTCACTCAAGCAGAATAGACTATCTTGCCCCATTAAATCCCAACTTCAGCAACAAATTGTTAGCAACTTGTAAGTGTAGAATTTTTTTTTTCATGTGTGTCTCCTGAATGAGACATCATGATTCAGATCTCTCAGATAATGACAAATCTTTTTCTTGTTTGCAGAGCTTTGATTCCATGTCATAAATTGTAATCCATACTTAGGCAAAAAGTTTGACAAACTCCTTAGATAAAACTCTTAATTCCACAGCTGTCTTCAGTCTCTTCTACTGTTGTCCATGTACACCCTTTTCCTCCATATCCATTAGGTCTTTTTTCAGTTCAATATTTTGTAATAAAATCCTTAGCCTTTTGGACAGTTTAGTCTAAATCCTTATTGATGGGATGTAAATATTACCTTCCAGTTTATGCCATTGCAATGGAACCATTATCTGCTTCAAAGCTTTTGTTAATAAGGAATCTGTAATTCATTATTTTAGTGCAGATTACAGTCTGGTTAATAGTTGTCAAGGTACCAGTGTCTTATTTGCTAATCCTTTGTTATAGCAACTGCCCTAACAATTCAGAGGAAGCTTAAAACATGCTCTGGTATGCTAAGCATTACAACACAGAAAGCACAAGACAACCTTTTTAAAATGAAGTTATAGTTAACTATAGTTAATTATAGTTAATAATTTACTAAATCTATAAAAATAATCTCCGAGACAAACTCCTTTCTGTGAATTCCAAGGCTTATCAAATGTAAATGTTCCTTAGTAATAGTTTGTTAATTTTAAAAATCCTTTAGGGGGAAAATACCCCTAATAACTAAGGCTTGATAATGTGCAGTGAATGTCTGTGGAAGACTCTACACGCTAAATATATAGACATAATCTCAATGTAAGCATGCCCTGATAAGACCCATTTTATTTTAAGAGAGGATTAATTGTGGCTGGTCTGCATTAAGACTAGAATAGAAAGGTTTAGTTTCATTCAAAGAGAATAAGAATAATCCCATTTAGGCTGATGCAGTAAGTTATGCTGTTTTTCCTCTTCCACTGCTAAGAATCTTATTGGCTGCAAAACAAAGAAATTACCATAAAGCTAGTTAAAATGAAAGCGATGGCAAGAATGACCGATTGGAAGGAAGGCCTGTCCCTGTTCAACAACAGATTGGAGGCCATCGGGATCTTGAGAGAATCTCATTACAGGGGGCAGGCACTGCTATAGGCAGGGCAGGTATCCAGGGTCCTTATAGATGGCTTTGTTCAAATTGACCAGGCAAATATTTGGGAGACAGTGCAATCACTCAAATAATTAGGCCCTATGCCATATAGGCACTGTAATAACTAGACAAGTGGAATTGTTATTAGTGGAAGCCAGTTTAAGGGAGGCAATGCCAGGTGGTGGAATGGGATATAACTCATTGCTTACTAAAACTCTCTTGCATAAACTTCCTAATTGATGGGATATAAGCATCAGTTTGTTGAGTTGCAAGATCGTTTCAAAATGAGGATTCCTTGCTTGCATAGTTGCATGTGTATTTTCTGACAAAATGGGCTGTATTGTATATAAAGCCTTAGTAAGACCACACCTAGAGTACTGCATCCAGTTTTGGTCACCACATTATAAAAAAGATGTTGAGGCTCTAGAAAAAGTACAGAGAAGAGCCACCAGGATGGTTAGGAGACTGGGGGCTACAACATAGAATGAACGGTTGCAGGAACTGGGCTTGGCTAGTCTAGTAAAAAGAAGGACCAGGGGAGACATGATATGGTCTTCCAGTATTTGAGGGGCTGCCACAGATAGAAGGGGGTCAAGCTATTTCCCAAAGCACCATTAGGCCAGACAAGGAATAATGGATGGAAACTGAAGAAGGAGAGATTTAACCTGGAAATAAGGAGAAACTTTCTGACAGTGAGAACAATCAACCAATGGAACAGTTTGCCTTCGGAAGTTGTGGGAACACCATCAGTTGAGATTTTCAAGAAGAGATTGGACTGCCATTTGTCAGAAATGGTGTAGGGTCTCCCGCTTGGGCAGTAGGTTGGACTAGATGACCTACAAGGTCCCTTCCAACTCTGATTATCTGTATCTGTGTAACGTTTAGCCATATTTGATAAATGCACTCAAATGAACCAATGCTCTTTTTACAGTTAGCAAGTGACATAGGTAGGAGCAATGCTTGTAACTGGTTTAGTGAATGTGGGGAAATTCAACATCAGGAGTTTCAATCAATGGAAGGGTTAAAAGAAAGTTTGTTTGACTTGTCCCTCCAAATAGCAGGCAAAGAGCAACTGAATCCCAGGGAATTCTGGGGACCAAATTCTGAGGGAACAATTGAGAGGTGAGTTTCCCCTCTCAGGTCAGCTTTTAAAAACAAGAGCCACTACCTTGGTTTTGTATAGTTATGCCCAAATAAGCACGATGGCTATGTAATGATTATATGAATCCAGTTAATCCACTATTTTTGTCTGCTTCTTTTAATTACATTACAATTACCTTCTTTGTTCTTGAAGTTTTAATAGCAGTACTGCTAAGATAGCAGTCTATGGGTTTTTCCCCACCCCCAGTGCCATGGATATGGAGGGTAAAAATTCAAGGTTGTACACATAACTTTTTGTCAAAAATTAATGGGAAGAAAATGTTTGCATGCCAATTCTAATTTCTGAGGCTGTTGTGTGAATTTAATAGAACTATGGAAATTTAGTAATCTACATTTAATCTTGTTTTTTACCTGTAGGCCATAGAAGGAACAATAGGTGGCAATGCATATCTGCATAGCAAAGTAAACCAATGGACTACAACTGTTGTGGAGCAGATTTTAAGTCACTTGACAAAGCTGGGGAAACCATTCAAATATGTTGGTAAGTTAATGCAATCTTATAGTATTGTGTACTTTTCAGAAATGCTTTCAAGTAAAATTAAAGCCTGAAATTTAAGGACAGGGAGATTCTGATAGTAATTAGTCTGAACATTTGTGGTCATACCTCGTACTCTATATCCTTTGCAAAATCAGATATAATTGTGTTACATGGACAAATGCTTTTTTTCTAATAATATTTTGTCTTTATAATTTCTAGTGACCTGTGTGATTATGCAAAAAAATGGTGCCGGACTTCACACTGCAAACTCTTGCTTCTGGGACAATGCCGCTGATGGTATAAAACTCTTTCAAAACTGGTGTTGCTGAACTTTTTTACAGAAAATTTGTATAATTCTGGAATCTCTTTCTTTTGAGTAAAATAATTTGTATTGCATTTACAAACTTTGGATTCCAGTGCATTCACCTGATCATGACTGCAATGACTTAACTCTCTCTTACTGTTCAAAATAGGCAGTACAGGAAACTAAATGGGTGTGCTTCCAAACAGTTTAAATAACAGTAGACTTTGTCTATAAGTACTACTCAAGCTTATGAAGAGCTTTGCCATAGACTTAAATATCTGGATTACAATATGGATGCACTAATCGATATCTTGTGTTTATGTGAATAACTGGTTGCTGTTTTTGTTTGTTTGTTTTTTGTAGGAGCCTGCACTGTAAGATGGGAGAACAAGACTATGTACTGTATTGTCAGTGCCTTTGGACTTGCAATATAATTTGCCTTGAAATTCTTCAAATCTTGTTATTGCTTTAAGTCCACTAAAACTCTGAATTCGGTGAATAACTAAGAGTTACCCATTCTTTCTGAGGAAAAACAGAAGAGAAATTTCAGTACTGTTAAATAAGCATGATCCCTTGTTCACTTTCAAACTCTTGTCTTAACACTTTAAGGACGTTTTCTCAAGGTGCTAAAGCCTGAAACTTGCTGCACTTCTATAGCTTTACTCCACCTGTGTGGGTAAGACTGATTTTCACTCTATATTTGTTTGTTTATTAAATTATTGAAGCTCTGACTATGTGTATGTTCATTCCTAAAACTTAAAAAATTTAGAAATGAGAATAATGTCATGATTGCAACAGTGGCTGATCTTTGCTGGTTTGGGAAGTAAGCAGATTGAGGCCAGGTTAGTATTTGAGATCCTCAATGGAAGTTCCATCTTTTTTTTAAAAAATAATAATGCTACCAGTATGTTCATGTGATCATCAGGAACCGAGTTTGATTTAAAGGTCTTTTTGCCCTAATTTTTACCCGCTCAGTATTTAACATGCTGAAGTTCTGAAAGAGTATCATTATTCCTTAATTTCATTAGTTTTCTGGGTATTCTGGCATTCTCCTGTAAAGCATGGGTAAAATCAAAGAAAGACTAATTGACATTAATAACAGAAGTTCAGTATAAAATTTTATTATGAATAAATTGAATTTCATGATTTTTATTTTGCACTATTTCTAGTATTTGCTGTGGGGAAATTCTGTTTCATATTCCAAACCTCACCATAATTACAAACAGCAGATTTCCTGAAGCCTGGAGATTACACATTACAATAAACCATGCATATCCCTTCTTCAAACAAAATCAAATATACAAATGCACTCATTAACATAGCTATTTTGAAAAAGCACTAGCCACATTCTGATATAAAATTTTCTACATTTGCTTCGTTACACAGCTGTTTAAAAATATTGAAATCTTGAATAGTGCTGAAAGGATTTTTCCATATATTTATATTGGCACAAGTGGAACATAAGACAACAAGCACAACAAAAGAACTGTAGAGCTAATGTGCAATGGTTGCACAATCTTGGGTATTTTTTTCCTCAAGTTTTGTATCAAATGTGAACCTAAAGCTTAATAGCATGTACTTCTGAATAAACATGCAGAAAACCGGAATAAAAATCACAATTAAAAGAATTGATTTTTTTTCAACACACCACCTAACGTTTCCCATTCCCAGGCATGTTACGCTTAATGGTAACTATTATGTTGCTCTTGGTGATACTGAAAAAGCCTCAATTGATCCTTTTCAAATATCTTTATGAAAACCTGTTTTCTCGGTTAACCTCACTAACAAAATCTAAACCTGATTGGCTTTGTGACAATGTAATATGACATTGTCTCCTTGTATTACACAATCTGCTGCTTTCCTGGTTTAATAAGGTTATTCTGTCCAATCATTGATTTAATAAAAGAATAGCTCTCACTAAAGGAAACATGGTATTGTCAGAGGAAATTTTAAAACAAAATATTCAGGCTTGGGGGAGGCGGGGGGGTAAAATTCCTACTGCTAACATCAGAAATACTGGAGGCCACGTAAAAATTGAGTACATTAAGGGATAGTCTCATATAGCCATAATACTGATCAGCCATTTTATAATGAGAACCACCCTACTCCTCACACCAAAGAACATGAGAACTATGAGAATATTATTTAATAGTATTTAAATTTACTAATAGCTCCCTAGTTTCATACTGGAAGAATATATTAGTATCCAAGTGAATCTTAACTAAAAAAGTTCTCTCTCAGTATTCCCTTAACGAAAAGTATGAAATGGATCCTGTCTCATTACAACATTGTATACTGTAATGCAAAAGTGTTATGTGATTAATAATGTGTCTAAAAATAGTCTCAGTTTCCAATAAGGAGCAAGATACAAAAAGACCAGCAGCACTCATCTTTATTGGATTTTTCCCAGTTAGATGTCATTTTGTATGTATTTGGAAGTTTCCTTCTGAGTTTTCCAAAACTGAAAAATATCACATTACATATAAAATAGGCAATAATACACTTGTTCCTTGCAAAAGTAGTCACCATTGGTCTTGCCTCTTTTTAAAGATATGAACAAAAGGAAAGGGGAAGAAATGCCTAATTCATCCAATGCAAAATATTTAAAGAAACTAATCCAGGCAAATTCATCAGAAAACTTAACTCTTAAGTTTGCAATTTACAAAATTATATAAAATAAATGGTGTACAGGTAGTCCTTGACTTATGACCCCAATTAGAATCAGACATTCTATCACTAAAGAGGTGGTCATTAAGTGAGTTGTGCCCATTTTTTCCACCATTGTTTTTGCTGCAATCATTAAGGGAATCACTAGGTGTTAAGTGAACCCTGCAATTGTTAAGTGAATCTAGCTTTCTCCATTGGCTTTGCTTGTTGCAAACTGGCTAGGAAGATTGCAAATTGTGACCGCTGCAACAGTTGCAAGTGCAAGGACCAGTCATAACTTTGTAATGCCATCGTACTTTCCCATAGTCATTAAATGAATGGTATTAAGTCAAAAACTACCTGTAACACAATTCTAATCTCTCATTTTTTGAGTGGGACAGATTTAAGAAAGTGCTTGATTTTCTTGTTGATAATGCCTCTTTAAAGTAATAAATCCAGGATAAATTCTAGTTTTATGCTAAAAATATCAAAAGGTCAGACAAACATTTTGAAATAGGAAAAAGGATCAATAGGTTTAGGAAGTAGCATGTTTGCTAGACATTTTCAGTTGGCTGAACTGGTGCAGGCAAATTCAATGATATTCAGCTTACAGCTAACATTACCAGGTCAAAAACCAAAGCCACCTGAAATTCCCAAGGTCAAATGAACTTTAGGGGCATTGAATACACAATTCCACAGAAACAAGTGAATTCAGGATAAAATAATTTGTGAACCATATTAAATAAAAGTTGGACACTTCAGTGTTGAATCTCAAGCCATTTGTCAGCAAGACATCGCTGGAAGAGTCTAGTTTTCCCTGTCAACAACTTCAAACGTGTTCAGAGAGATTAGGCAAACCCACAGATTTTTCTTTTATCCTTTTGCACAAATTGAATGCAAACCGTAAAAAAGCAACTTGAAATAACATAGAACAATATATACTTTAAAAAACCTTCATGAGTCAGCAATACAAAAAATTAGAGGAAGGTATTCAGTCTTATCATGTTATACACTATAAGCTTGTCACACTTAAAATATTAACAAAGAAAAACTAGACCTTTCACATATAGCAAAGACGTGATATACAGTAATACACATTATAGAACTGAGCTGATCACATACATGTGGAATATTTGACCTGCAACCCTCACTTCCATCTTTTTTTAGGTATCTTATGTTTGAGTAACTTACAAAAATGAGTTTATTGTTATGTTAATAGCTTTGGATTATTTCAGTTTTTATTAAAAATTTGGGTATGTCTGGGATCCAGTTCCTGCATGCCTACTAAGCATCTCTTTACTAAAATTTCTTGCATGCATTGAAGCATCGGAAATGCATGTGATGGAGAATACTAATTCTCTTCTGCGCAAAGGGAAGTGCTTTCTAATTGAGGCCTTGGAATTAAATAATCAGGCTGCTCCTGAAGCTTAAATTTAGAACAAGACCTAAAGCAAGAAATTACTATTAAGCTCAAAAGTGAACACTGGGAATGCATTTAATTATATCTGTAATTTTAACAGGGCTTTAATTCTTATGTATCATTTCAGCTTTATTTCACAGGTTATAAGAGCTTCATGACTTTAAGAAAGTTACTGGAGTGATTGAGAAGGAGAAAGATGTACTATGAAAGCACAGAAAATAGAGATCCATAATGTCAATCCAATGAAATCAATTCACAGAATCCATCTAGATTTAAGAGTAAACGGTATTTTTACTCTTTTTACTTTTATTCTTTTTACTCTAGTGCACTGTTAACTGGTATCCTCATTCAGGTTAACACATTGAAGTGCAGTAGTTTATTTTTCTAGAAAGGATAAAAGTTGTAGAAGAGATTATTTTATTTATGTTTGAAGATAAGATTTTTTTTTAAAGTCTGAGAAATACCATTCAAGATAGCTGCAATTAAAATCAAGAAATCATATCAAGGTACCCAGACACTTGCTATTTGCTGCAGAGCTCTTCATTCCTATTCTATATATACAATAGGAACAAGAACAATTAATTCCACATAAAGCAGCCATGAAGCAAAGACCATTCTAAGAGAATGTCACATGACCATATTTTACTCATATAATTCTTCCAGAGTTTTGTTATCTGAATAATGCTGTGGAAATCTGAAAGTTCTACCTAACTCTGCCAATAAAGGGTTCATCCAATAAAAATGAATCAATCACCATTTGGATCCTGCCAGGTTATAAAATAAGTGCTAATTTCAGTAGCCATCATACTTAACATTTATTGTGTGTTTCTAAACTACAGTAATTAATATTTAATTTATTAAAATATTCAGAACATTTTCCTGAAGAAACAGTATGTGATTGAAGTACATGTTCCCTTAAAAAAAAAACTAGCATCGGCAGAAGGCTTTGTTTTTAATTCAAAATTGCCATGCATTTAAATGTTAGCATTATTTTAAGATAAATCGGTTTTCAAATCATTCCTGTCCAACACAACTACACTGGTATCTCAGAACGAATGAGCTGTTGTGGAAATCAATTGTCCACAATAGAAAACAACAGGAAGAAGTTTCAGTTTTATGAATTCAAGACACCAGTTATGTACTGAATTATTGGGAGTTCATTACTGCATGCCTGTGGTAATATTCTTGAGAGCCAAGAAGACCAGCCCAATTTCCACCTAACTTTGGAATCTAGAGATGTTGAGAGATAGTGCATTGTCTTGATGCTACAATATATAATAAAGTCAAGATAAATTACTTTGGCATTTAAAAAATGCAGAGTATTACTGCCATTTAAATAGTAATGAAGCGCAGTCATAAATAGTAATGAAGCATAGTAATCAAAACAGTAAACCACAGCCTAATCAAGGAACAATCAAGAAGAAAACAACACTCCCACCAACACTGACAGGGAAAGCCACCGTAAATAAACAGAACAAATCCCACTCCCTTTTAGCACTGAACATGTTATCTAATTGGATAATGAAATGTTTGCAAGGAAACCACCAAGCTCAGAGAGCACCAGAGATTCCACAGTTCAACCCTGAGCTGCAAATATTCTCTTATATTAGTAATGAAGTAATTAGGAAATCCACTATTCAGTTATTAATCCATAATAAGCTAAGTGCCCCAAAACTTATTGATTTTAATAATCTGATTCCACAGCATTCTGTGTGGAGGCATCTTGTTGCAACTGAGTTTTACGAGACGGGGTGGGTAAACCACAAGTTTCTTTAAATGGTACTAAACATTCATTTCTCACTCCCATCCATTTTAGTTTTGTAAACAGAAAATGACTGGAATAAAGGACATACTTCCACCAAAAGCATGGTTCACTTGACTATAGGAAAGATAACATTACTCTTGTTCCATATTCTTGGCTGCTCCTGTGAAAATTTAATCACTGTCCGATTCCTCTTTGAATTTGGCTCTGATAGCCTGACCGTTCTGAAGTGGCATTTCTTCATAGTCACTCCTGTCCAAACATATTTAAGAAATGATAC